AAATGATGTCTTGATGGACTGATTTTGTTCTTTCCACCTTGGTATAGACTTGGGGATATTGCTAGGCCCTAAGTGTAAAAATAGCAACAGTTTACCACCGGAATTAGACCTTAACGAAATAAGGAATGGAATGTGCAAAGAAATGTCTTGAATTACGTTATGACTAATAAAATGTTTTGTGTAACATCCCAAAATTTAAGACCAAAAATTTCATTTTTAATTAAACAGTTATAAAACCAATAGTCTGAAAACACCCATAGTGATATCCCATATCAAACCAATATGTCAATAATCAAAACATGTCACAATAAAACAACGTCAGAGTATAACTCCCAAGAATCTCATAATGCGGAAAACCATAGTGTGATGCGTTGCGATCATGTCGGCTCCTTTCCTTTCGAAGAAGAAGTACCTGAAAACAAAACTGAAAACCGTAAGCACAAAGCTTAGTGAGTTCCCCCATCATACCACATACTACACAATAAATATACTGTCTAGCATATCTGGGTGCTGGCCTACCCCTTCAGTCTCTGACAACCGATAACTGCCTAGCATATTAGGGTGCTAGCCTACCTCTTTGGTCTCTTTCAACCGGTAACCGCCTAGCATATCTGGTTGCTGGCCTACCCCTTCGGTCTCTTTCAACCGGTTATGGGGACTATTTCACCCCTACTACTACCACATAATATCCTAGCATATACATATAAATCACATACTGCCTAGCATATCTGGGTGCTGGCCTACCCCTTCAATCCTTTCGACTGGTTACGAGGACTATTTCACCCCTACTACTACCACGTAATAACATAGCATACAAGCACATAAATCTCAATAGATAGTAACATACCAGAAAATTATCACAAAGCCAATTATCTCTACTGTGACAACTACTAGTGGGCCAGCATTGGTGCCTTCGACCCACTCATACCGGGAAGGTAACTCACCTCAACTGTGTGCCGAAATCGTGCTCCTCGGATGGCTCAGGACTCCTCTCCCTAAAGCATAACAAGTCCGCTAGTTAGTTATTGGGTCCAAGTATAACTCTCTTATGGCCCAACTTCTAATTCATATCCTAAGGCAAGGTCCCCTAGTCCTTGCCCTAATGGGCCTTATCCCCCAAGGTCCAATCCATAATCAATTTAAGGCCCAAGTCCATTACTTTAAGCTTTAAGGCCTAAAAGGCCCAATACCATAAATCTCAGTCCTAGGCCCAGAGGCCTTACTCCACAGTGGGCCATGAGGCCCAACAAATCCAGGCCCAATCACCCAAGGCCCAAAAACCACATTAATCATTATGTATGCGTACGCACGGCGTACCTGGCACGTACCCCCGACGTACGTTGGCCTTGACCAGAAGCGGGAAATTGACCCAGTACGCGCTGCGTACTGGCCAGTTTCCTTAGAACTCTTTTTGTGACTTAATCCATTAAGTCCTAACGTCCAAAACATAGATCCATGTCCTTTAAGACGTCCTAAACCATAAAGTTACAAACTTTATGTCTTTGCATGCATGGATGGGGGTAAGACATGATTTAAGTCCTTAAACACACTTTGTGACCATCTAACACTTGCATGGTTGTAGCTTAACCATCAAGGCCTGATTTTTATGACTCTAAATGCTTCCAAGAGCTCAAAAGGGCAGCTCTTATGGGCTAGAACTACCAGAACACAAGAAAACTCTACTATAGAGTCAAAATATCACATAAAACACCCCAAAACTTCAACTAAGCAAGCAATGGTCAAGTTTGAAACTTGATACCTCAAATAAGTCAAAAAGATGTTAATCTTCTGGATCTACAAGCTCTCTTCAAGTCCTTGCTCCTTCTTCAAACTCCTTGCTCTTCAAAACCACCAAAACAACACCAAAATGCTCAAAGTAAGTTCAAGATACATGCAAAGGAGTTAGGTTTCGAGTTGGGCACTGAGAGGATAAGGGTTTTGAAGGTTATAAGTTGTTTAAATAGGGTGCAAACCCTAAAATTTAGGGTTTACATCTGGTCACCCTACGCCGAGCGTACGCATGGGTACGCCCATCGTACGCATGGGAGTTCCCCGGTTCACGCCTCATATGTGTACGTCGTACGTACACCCTGTACGCCCAACGTATGCTCCGCCCCAAAAATCCCAACATTTTAATAATTATAACTTGAATAAAAAGCAATACAATACCTGATAAATCCCGGACGTTACATTTTGATATAGAACAGAATGTGGAAATATATCTTTTGAAATGAAATGATAATATATGAAATGATATGTATTATATGTATGAAAAGATTTTTCCTTGAAAAGGCTTGAAAAGATATGTTTTGCAAAAATGAAAGGTTTTTCTAATGAAACTGTGGTAAATGTTTTGGGTCACAAAACCGCGTAGCTCACGAGACATTATTGTCTTACGTATCTCTTTTTAATGTCATGTATCTCAGGTTACACTTAAGGAGAGATGATGATAGATGGACGTTAGAAGTCAAGTGTTAGAGAATGGAGTGGAACTTGTTAAATTCTTTATTGAAGTATTGATGTAATTTATATTTGCTTGTTATAGCTGTATTGATGCTTAATGGTAAGACCCAGTGTTTAAATACATAAATGTTTTCATGGGACCGAGTTTTGTTAAAAGCGGATGAATTCCTAGAAGTTTTAAAACCATAGCATTTTAAAGTTTGAAAAGTTTAGGGTGTTACACCAACAAACAAAGTCAGATATAGGATTGAAAAATAAGATGAAATTCCTAAAGGATTGAGCAATCCTGTTTTGATACCACTTGTTAAATCATAACGACATAACGAATTGTAGTGCTTTGATACCGGTTGTTAAATCATAGCAAGATGACATATTGTAGTGCGAAATTAAATTGATTGAACAATGATCTGGATATAGTATGAAATCTCTTTGATTGATCACAGATCAAATACAAGAAAACAAGGCTAAAATAATCAGAGATTATGAGCTCAGAAAGTATAAAAAAATCTATTTAATCGTAAGATTATATTTATACAAACAAGATTCAGGGTGATCATGACCAATAATATCTTAACATGTGGACATACACACATGAAGAGTTCGAACAAATTGCTAACACTAACATATGCCTTCAGTTAAGAGCATTATAGTGCACATGATAAACTTGTACTAAAGGAACATAATATCATCTACCAACTACTTTGGTAAAGAACACAAAAACCTTTAACTTTAATATGCTCTTGGAAAATTAATATTCAAATGTCTTCAGTTAAGATTTGGAAAGTCAGAACAAAACCGGAACCTAATAGTCTCAAATATTTTCTTGATGATTAGTTCAAAATCAAAGACCTGAGAGATATTTATTTTTTCCTTTGTCATAAATTCATCGACATCAACAATTGTATGGTTGTTCATTAGAGCAATTTTATCTTGAAACTATTATCATCATGCTCTATGCTCTATTTAAAACCTCTCAACATGACTCTTTCATATAAGTTGAAATTGTTACCTATCATGGAAGATTTTTTGTCTGGTTCCACAACATATTGATAATTAATTGGGATGTTACACTTTTTACTTCATACAAGGCTTGATCTTTAATTTTTATATATAATGCTTCAATGAATTTGATCAAAATATTTGTTAAGAACATTATGATTATGCTCAGTATTTTTTACTGCATTTCAAAGGAACTTTCTTTCAAGGCTTAGTTCTCAATAACAAAGCTAATTTCTAGATCGATACCTACTATGAAAATTTTAGGCAGCCTGTCTAATCACTTGAAGATCTAGTAGTGGTTTATATATAATATTTTGTGGCAACCTTATATCATGGAAGTCTAAAAGACACTTTATTATTTGATTATCCTCTATGGAATTTGAATATCACTTAATGAGACGAGTTTGTACCGAACTAGCATGGTTAAGTTGTTCTATTTTACCATGTTTCAAATTCTTGACATTAATCTTGTTCATCTCAAGTGATATAACATTGTTGCTATCTACATCACTAATAACCTCGTATTTCAAAAATAAAAAATGAAACATATAGAATTAGACTGTAATTTTGTTCGAGAAAAGCTTCAAGATTACCTAACTTCTCCTTCCCTCGTGTCTATGAGGATTATATAGATGGTGTTTTCACAAACTCATTATGAGGCTTTCTGCATATTTGCATACTGAAATAGTTCCCAAGCTGGATTATTATCCTCACCAATTTAAAGAGGGGGTTATGGGTGTTAGGGTGGTCGGTATGTAGGTTTATTACTATACCCACCAGCTTAAGGAGGGGATATGGGTGTTAGATATCTAAACCTACCATCGCTTAATTTGCTAAAACCATATCATTGCCGCATCATTTTTCTATAATTCTTATTCTTTTCATCCCTAAATACATGAAATGCTTATAGTTTTCTTCCCTCCCATCCTTAAACCCATTCATTGTACCAATAATTCAATAAACAAACAAATAGTACAAATAGTACAAGATGACGAAGACGAAGCGTAGGGAGCTTTACTTGAAAATCTGTCTTCCCAAGCATCTTTGGTATATACCGTCCACCCCTAGCATAGTCTTCTTAATTGTCACGAAAAATTTTTTTTTTTGTGTGGACAGCATAGTCTTCTATTCTTCTTAATTGTCACGAATTTTTTTGTTGTTTGGAAAGCTTGTTGGAGTTTGTTAAGTATGCTACTATTGAGCAATACATAGAATTAAAAGCGTATATAATTGTTATTAATTATTTATATAATTTTTTCCCTAACAGCCAACACACACTATAAATCTTATTTTTAAACTGCACTAAATCATTTCTGTAGCTCTATTCAATGAATGAGAAAATTTATTTATCTCCTTTTTTTTCTTGGTTTTGACTTGGAAAAATAAATGACTTACATGAGCAAATAGATAGCCATTGACATTAACCTTATTTTGACTTGGTCCAGAAAAAGTATGGTCGGTACAACTTGAATGTTAATGGATAAACATGGTAAGCATTTTGGAAATGACAGGGGTTATCATTGCATGACATATCCTAATGCACAAAAAAAAATTTAATAGAGATTAAAAAAGAACATAGTCCCACTACATTAATTTTTTTTTATTTATATAACATCAGAAGACCTCTAGTTCTTTCATTTTCAATCTCACAGAAAATGGTTTAAACCATCGTCCAACCAGGCATCATCTAATAAGAAGCCATATCTGTTATAATTTACCCCCAAAAAAAAACAAGAATACTTCATGTGTTTAGTACCAAATGGACCCATCCTGCTTCGGCAGCGTATAATCTACATTAAAAGGAGCACCAAACACCATCTTGAAACCGCCTTGCTGAACATTGCACTGATCGAAATGGTGACCTTGTTGCAGGTTCGAATTTGCTTCAAATCCATGGTGGAGAAAGTTGTCGCCTTGAAATCGGATACCCGACTGCCCAAAAAACGAGTCATTTCGACCCGCTATATTTCTGGAATCGGCCTTACTGTTGTTTTCTTGAATATTATCATCATAAAATGACATCAAATCATTAATCATCTTTTGCCCGTCTTCAGGAACACCAAGAATAGAAACATCGAAAGGCTGCTTAATCTCATTCAAATGGAAGTTCTGAACCCTAGAAACCCCCACAAACGGTGATTGATCGTTGTTTCTATAAGGGCAGTTCAGTCCATGATTATCTCTTGAAATCCGATCAAGAAACCCATGAAAAGGTTGATTATATGGGCATTTTGGGAAATCGCAGGTGTAAATCTTGTGATCCATGGCTTCTGATGGAGTCGGAGGAGATTTCCGCTTTCGATCTTGGTAATTTAACATCCCTAAATTACCCGGTTTGATATCATGGATTTCAAAATCGGATTCGGGTCCAGGTTTTGTTTCTACGTCATACTCACCAGTGTCAAAAGATCCAGTCCAGCCCGATGACATAACCGGCGGTTCCGGCGGGCACTGGTTAGGGTAAAGTTCTCTAGCCAATGTTTCCTCCTGGTTAACGACGGCGAGCCACGTGGCACTCTCTTTCGCAGTCATCTTGTCCTGTAAACATTTCGATTGTCTTACGAGCTTCCTGATTTTATCAACGTCCGGAAACATATGCTTGATAACCGCCGTCAAAACGCCGACTTTCCACGCTTTTTTTAAATCGTGAGGCTTCTTGTAAGGCGGCGGGCCGGGTTGGTCCTTCTGTAAACCCAACTCCGGCCACCAGTCTTCGTTTCCGGTCGGCCACCATGGCGGTGGCACACCTTTTTCCAACGGAAACCGTCGCTGCGGCGGGTCGCAATGCTGCATGAGAGCCGATAGCAAGGAGCCGAGAGTTGTGTCCTGAAGTTCCTGTAATGAGTGTGGTGTCGACCCAATTGAACTCGTCTTCTCGTTCTCTCCGGCGATCGAGTTATCTGCTTGAAACTTGGCGGCGGCTGCCGGCCCGTTTCTGTCGAATCGGACTTTATCTTTCCACCATTCACGGAGGTTATCGGATGCGCCACTCACTGGCTTTCCTTTTTCTGGTATAATCCCGTAAACGAAACCTTGAGCTTTGCAGACTTCCATCATCTTCAACATGTATTTTAATATCCCATCTTGAGCTCTAGACATCTTCTTCCTCCTCGCCTGCTCTTGAGACTGGCGTTGTTTTGCTGTATCCATGTTTTCTTTAGTGTTGCATGATTCTTTGAGCTTTTTAAGTTTCATTTTATCTCTCCACATTCGTCTTTCTAGCTCATCAACGTCGATTTCTTCATCTGTGAAATCGTCATCCACCATCGTCCCGGTTTCAGTTAGGAGAGAACTAATCTCTCCTTGGGCATTTTGAGCACAGAAAACGTTAAGTTGCTCGCAAAATCCCATTTCATCAAACATATGCATCTCCAGATTCTCAGCCAATCTGAAATCATCAATTCAACCTAAAATTAGATTAAACAGCATCTAATACAAGAAATGAACATCCAAATTTTACAAAATATTGGTAGCTACAGATTAAAGACGCCTACAATCATGAATGGTCGATCTCATCAGATAATAGAAAAGATTATCAGAGCAACCATATCTAAATCTGATCAGGGCAAAGAAAAGATCCGTAGTAATTTCGTTGTTGTGAAACAATACCAATCTTGGCACGAAATTCAAATTTTTTTAGTGAGATAAACAACATACACAGTCAATTTTACGAAAAATATGAATTCAAATAGGTTACCAGATTTTAAGACATCTTGATACAGAACCATAATATAACTTTTGCTCTATGAATAAAAACAAAATAGCGAACCATAATTCGACTTGAAATGATTGACAGACAAAGATCTTATAACATTTTCAAATAAACCAAACGAATTCACTTATATAGAATTCAAACAAACAAATCATATCCAACTTCAACATATTTAATCAATCCCAGTGGTACTTGTGCACATAGAATCGAAATTAACATCATCCCAAACGAGTAAACACAGCAAACGCATCATTCGGACTTTAATTTATCAAAATCTAAATCAAACATTCAATCACACAAGTTTAAAGCATTACCTGAATGGTGGGTTTGATTCTTTTTTCTCCTGGAAACCCCTTTGCAAAGTTTATAGATGAGAGAGAAAGAAAAGGGGTATTCTTGTAGTTTGTACAGATGTGTGTAAGCATTAACTAATATATTAATGGGTGATGAAGTATAGGGATGTGAAAAGTGTCGGCGATTGCTAAAGTAAAGGCAGATGAAACAGATGCGATGGAAGGGGAGCAGATAATATTATTTATTGTTCTTGTTCTTAAAGAGGGGCCAGGTGAATTCAATGTGAAGTTTGTAAGAAAACTCCATGGCGATGTGAAGAATAAATTACCGAAATCATGGTGTTGGGCCGTGTATGAACCCTGAAAAAATGGGCATCGGAAGTGGCAACCAACATGGAGCTGACAAGCTGTTTGCCCGACCCCAAATAATTGCGACACTTTTTACTCTATCTTTGTATAGATATGCTCAAAAAGCAAAAAGTACTTAACCACAGGGAGCCAATTCTTCCTTTAAGATACTTTTTTTGAACCCCAATTATTGGTGCATTGGTTTTTTTAACTTTTATTTTAAAAAGGAGTTGAAAAGAGTTCCAATTGGATTGATATCGAAATATTCTTTTAGGTAATTTTTTTTTACCGTAGATCCTTTTGGCGACTCTATGTCTGCGCCGCGCTGACTACTCGTAGAAATTAGATTTTGCAGACCTAAAAAGGTTTGTGTGTTCTCTTCTTGACGTTGATGTGGACCGGAGTCTTCAAACTTTATCAGACATCTTCTAACTTAAAAAAAACACATATATCTTTGTTTTTTTTTTTTTAACTTAGATTTTTCCAATTTTATCTTTGATAACAAATTGTAATAAAAAAGTTACAATACTTAAAGAAAACTTTTTCGACGATACAATCATGACCTTTGTGATAACTTTATAAATATATATTTAATTATAATTGTGACAACCCGAAAATTTTTATTCTTGAAAAAGTCAAACATATCGTGTAAAGGTCAAATTCAATTCTTTTATTATCTTATATGGCTAGATTAATGGGTTTAAGTGTTTAAATCTTGTAGCAAAGGTGTTAGTTGTTTAAGAAGTGAAACATGTTGAAACCGGGAACCTTCGCAACCCACTCCATCCGAACTGAGGACTTCATCAAAACCATAAACCCTCGGACCGTGAACGAGGTTCACGACCGCAAAGAGGTTCACGGTCGTGAACTCTTCGCACCGTGAACTCCTCTTCGGCCGTGAACAGTCCTCGGGTCGTGAACCCTTCGGACCCCACACTTTTCCCTATATATAGAAGTTTGACTGACTTTTACTTCACTTCTTCACCTCTGGCCGTGAACTCAAGCATTCTCTCTCAAGTATCATCAGCCAAAAACCCTCATCTCTCCTCAAGATCATAAGAAACACCTTCCTTCTTGTAATTCATATGGATCTCTCTTGATTTCAACCTTGATTTATCATCATTTGTCAAGAACATTGGGCCGTGAACACCCAAATGGGCCGTGAACTCAAGAACACCAAGTGTTCTTGGGCCGTGAACACACAGCTTGGCCGTGAACAGTAGGCAGCCCTCCATCTTTGCTTCTAACACCCTTATTTGTAAGTTAAACTTGCAAGTTAGTTCGATTTCCTAACATTCTTATGGGTATATTCATTAATAGTATACCTATATACTACATAAATTGTGTTTAGGACCGGTTTTGTTAACAAGACTTCACTTGTGGTGTAACACCTGATTCCTGGTACGTATTTAATTCAAGAATTTCATGTATTTTTCTCTGGGACTCGACGAGTTGGTGGCCCAACTCATCGAGTAGAGTCGTGATCCACGGGGAGTTTAAGTGACCTACTCGACGAGTCGGGAGACCGACTCGGCGAGTAGGTGTTGTTTGAGTGAAACCCTAAATTTGAGGGTTTGCACCCTATTTAAACAACTTATCTCAGCCTCCATCATCCCTTATACACCCATAAGACATCATATCGAAACCCTAGCCTTGTTTGAGTATTCTAAGGCCATTTTGGTGGATTGTGAAGCTTGAAAAGGGGAAAGGAGCTTGGGAGTTCAAGTTGGAGCTTGGATATCTAGAGATTGTGTTCCATTTCCAACTCATTTAAGGTAAAAAGCTCCTGCCTTGATCTTCTATGTGTTTATTCATCTTTAGGGCTTGGATTTTGGGTATATTTAGGGCTTTCTAAGCCATTTTCGGGTTATGAAGTGTTATAGGGAGTATTGACTTCAGATCTTGGTCATTGGAGGGGTCTCATGGCATAAAGGTGCCAACTTTATGGCCATGAGAGCCCTATGCATCTTTTAGACATCATTTGTAGTCCTTTATGGCTAAAAGACCCATGCATGGATGTAAAGTTTGTGGCTTTACGTGCAGGAGGTCAGATCTACCCTTTGGATGAGATGAGCTTGACAGAAATCGAGTTTATGGACATGGACTTTAGTGGACTCGGCGAGTTGTTTTTGGGACTCGACGAGTCGGGTAGTGGTTCTCCAACCCTTGCTGTTTTGGGGGTCTGGTTGAGTTTAGAGAAGGACTCAACAAAGATGGACGAGATTATAGACCTGGGAATCATGGGCCTCGACGAGTGTTTGAGCAGGCTCGGCGAGTCCAAGGCAATCTTCCAATCTTTGAAGATGGACTCGACGAGTTGTTCATACAACTCGGCGAGTCATAGACTGGACACATTCTTATGAGGGAGATGAACTCGACGAGTTTAAGGTCGTACTCGGCGAGTCGGATGAAGAAGGCCCCGATGGTATGAATGAAGAAGAACCCGTCGAGTTCTTGCTAGACTCGACGAGTAGAGACGGGGATTGGTTTGGGTTAGAGAAGTATGGACTCGACGAGTTGGTAGACCAACTCGGCGAGTCAAGCCAACTGGATGTTGACTTTGACCAAAGTTGACTTTGACCGGATTTGAGTTGACCCTGGTTAGGGTTGCCAGTACAAGTTGATAACTTGGATGGGGTTGTCATGTAGGGATTGAGGAGTTGAGGAGAGTCGATTTTCACGCCAAGGACAGTTCGGACACTACACGACTTTGAGGTGAGTCTTCTCCTAGTAGGGGTGGGTCTACGGCTACAATGCCGGCCCACAAGTAAGAGTACTGGTTAGATGATTGTCTTTGATAATTATCTGGGACTTGATATGTTTTATGCTTACTGTGCTTGATATGGTTATGATTGTTATGCTTATTGTGCTTATTATGTGTTAGCAGTAGGAGGGGTGAAATAGTCCCTGGTTACAGGTTGAAAGATACCGAAGGGGAGGGTAGTTCCTAGATACCGGTTGAAAGATACCGAAGGGGAGGGTAGTTCCCGGTTACCGGTTGAAAGATACCGAGGGGGAGTCCAGCTCCCGGTTATGCTTGATGGTTACCGGTTGAAAGATACCGAGGGTCATGTATTATTTTGGTATGGGTATGATAGGGGAACTCACTAAGCTTCGTGCTTACATTTTTAGTTTTGGTTTCAAGTACCTCTTCGTCTAAGGGGAAGGAGCCGGCGGTGTAGCAACGCATCACACACACACACATGGTTTCCGCATTGAGTTTCTGGGATTGTACTCTGATTTTCATTACTTCTGATGATATGAATTTGAGACACGACATTATGGTTTTATAAGTTGATGTAATATTGACAATGTTTTTGTGAACTGTTTTATGAATTACTTAATTAAAAATGAAAATTTTTGGCCTCGAAATTTTGGGATCTTACAAATTGGTATCAGAGCCTTGGTTTGAGGGATTCGGACACACCCTCGGGGGTGTCTGGACTCAAACCGAGGGATTAAAAGATTTTTCACAAAGAAAACAGTTTTCAAAAATTTAAGTTAAAGAATTTTGAGAAAGAACAAGGTGTGTGATGCGTGCGACCTGCCGACCTCAAGTAAGTTTTCCCCAAGATACCCATATTTGTTATGTTATGTTATATGATTCTGAGAACTGCATGCTAGAATAGGGCTAATGATCTAGGAGGATGCCTTGTATGCCTGATGTATGATTCTGAGAACTGCATGCTAGAATAGGGCTATGGATCTAGGAGGATGCCTTGTATGCCTGATGTATGATTCTGAAAACTGCATGCTAGAATAGGGCTAAGGATCTAGGAAGGATGCCTTGAATGCCTGTTGTATGAGTTGTATGCTAGGATTGTTTAGTCAGCGGTAGGATATCCTGATTAGGTTATGCTTGATGTGGTTACTCGATGCACGAATGCTGCTTGCTTTGTGCTATAGGGGTTCGGGCTAAATTTAACTAACTAGTGAGCAGATATGTAACAGTATTCGCAAGCTAGTTAGTGAAAGGTGGTAGGGACTCCTAGTGCAACTGACTGCGGTGAGTAGGTCGGAGAGTGTCCTAGGAAGGCCTAGGATGAGCTTATTTGGGAAGTTGTATTAGTAGAAAGGGACTTGGTGAAGTCAAGGCAGTTCTTGACGAAAGTACGGATAGATGTGGAAGGTAGTATGGGCCCGTACTACTGGAATCAGAGGATCCGTACTCGAATCAAGGAAGGCTGAGACAGAACCGGGAAACTTGGAGAGTGTGCGAGACCTCTCGAGGATATGTATGATCCTGACGTTTATGTGTTTATTTTCAGTATGGCGATTACACGACATGGGTCAGGATCTGGGTCAGGCTCGGGCGCGGGATCCGAGCAGGTTGATGACAGGTTACGCGAGCTCATCGCGTCTGAGATCACTAGAGGTATCCTTAAGTCGACCCCTATCATCTTCGGGTCGATCAAGGAGGGGATTATTGAGTTGATGGAGGATCGCCTCTAGGCATTCAGGAGGGATGCAGCGTCCAGCCAGTCGGGTACGCGCACACTGTCCTTCAAGGACTTTAGAGGGAGTGGTGCGCCAGACTTTCATGGGGTGAAGGAGCCCATTGCTGCCAGGAGATGGATCGCAGACATCGAGTCCGTGCAGTTGACGAGCTTCTGCCCGGAAGGGTCGAAGGTCCGTTTTGTTGCAGGTTGTTTGAGGGATCGAGCCAGAGATTGGTGGGAGTTAGTTGGGAATTCGTTGGGGGCCCCAGCCATTGAGGCTATGACTTGGTCAGATTTTGTGACCAGGTTCAGGGCCGAGTTTGCGCCAGCTGTGGATAGGGCTGTTAATCGGGTTTCGGGTTAAACGGGTCGGGTTAATCGGGTTTTTTTTTTTAAAATGACCCTAAACCCGACCCTATTAAGGTTCGGGTTAATCGGGTTAGGTTTAGTCGGGTTTCGGATTAACCGGGTTGGGTTAGTCGGGTTAATCGGGTTAAAATAGAAATAAAATAATATTTGTTTATTTTAGCAAATAACTTACAAGTATAAGGACCTAAAATGTAAGGTTTTAAAAAGAAAATTCTTTTGTGGTGATTGTACATGGAATG